CCTCCAAGGAATACCAGGGCCAGGACGAAGAGGCAGGTTATCGAGCTACCTCTCTGAAACATCCTAGCCCCACTAGGGGCTGCCAGAAGTCACCGTGAATCCCAGGTTCACAAACAAACACACACACACACACCAAAAGGGCGGGGGGCTGGCAAAGAGCTGGAATGTTTCTAAGTTGGGTAAGTTCATTCAGTTTAAAGACAAGAAGGCACAGACAGACTTTTTAAAGAAAAACACTTTATTAACTTTAATATACATATTCATGGTTGCAGTATATATGTATAGCAATGTGTTTTATATATATTTGTTCTGGATTTGTTCTGGAGCATTGTAATTGTCATCGACAGTCTGAATTTGTTCTGGAGCATAAGAACTACTGGTGGCCTTAACTCTGCATTTCATTATTAAACAATTTTATAGGCGCTTTTTGGCTTGGATTCAGTGATGCACAACAGGAAACATACACTGACTTACCATAGTTACGTTTGGTCAAGATCTTGTGCAACACATAGGGCTTTTCTCCCTGTCTCTCATAGTGGCCAGAAGGTGGCTGCACAGGATTTTGTGCATCCGAAAACTTAAGGGGGATATAATAAATTGGTCTTTTTCTTGCATTTCTGCTTGCTCAAGAGTTTTAGAGCAAGTGGAGACTTTGTGCTGGATCCAGCCTGTTGACGACAATAAACCCTGTAGCCAATATGTCCAAAACTGCAAGGATGAAAGGTATCAACTTAAATGGCTTTTTGGTACCTTCTTGTTCAGAGGTTGGGTCACCCAGAGAGTAATTAACATGTGGAATTCCCTGCCACAGGAAGTGGCAGCTACAAGCATAGCTTCAAGAGGGGATTAAATAAACATATGGAGCAGAGGTCCACCAGTGGCTATTAGCCACAAGGTATAGATGGAACACTGTGTCTGGGTGCAGTGATGCTCTCTATTCTTGGTGCTTGGTGGGAGGCAACAGTGGGAGGGCTTCTGAAGCTCTGGCCCTGCTGGTGGACCTCCCGATGGCACCTGATTTTTGGCCACTGTGTGACACAGAGTGTTGGACTGGATGGGCCATTGGCCTGATTGTTGGATCCCCAAGCATCGAGAATAAATCCACGTTTTCAAGAAAAGCAAAATTTATTTCAAAGCGTTGAAGACATACTCAAACACGTTCTTTGTTAGAACTGGGGATACACAGGTAGGGCGAGCATAATAAAGGAAATTCAAACAGATATATATCCAATGAATAATATTCCCACTGGCGGGCTAATGAAACGGTTGCGCGCCCAGTCCATGGGAACCAGGCAGAACATCAGACAAAACACAGGTGCAGTTCTCATGAGATAGCAATAGGCAAGCATTACAGCATCTTCTCCCCCACACATCCACCAGTAGTTATCTTATGCATTCCAGCACAGAAGCAGGATAGTAGAAACAAACCGGGTGCAACAGGGTAAAGATATGTACACAGAGGTCACAGAAAACAGAATGGCAGCTTGCTGACACTGATCCAACATTGGCTTCCCTTAGGTGGACCCAAAAGAACATAACATTGGCTTCCCTAACAGGTGGACCCAAAAGAACATGTTAGGCATATGGCCCAGTTTTGGAGCAATATGGTACATCCGACTGTATAATCTGAACTGTGTTCTACTTTCCAGAAAATCTTTGTCATGCCAAACATGGATGATGTTTATATTCCTCTGATGCACTCGGCGATGGATCCTCGTTCATCGGTTTGTTCTCTGAAAGATCCCACCACAGAAGCTGCTGATCAACCATGAAATGTGAAAACTGCAGTTTACAGTATTAACAAGTTTCCCCCCCCCCATTTTTTAACAAAAGTGAACTAGGTTTCTGTCCTTGTGCCACACTGTTTTTTCCCTTACTGATGATGAATGCTTTATGCCAATGGTTGCCCAGTTTTCCAGGCACTGCTCCTGTCTACTTAAGTTATGCAAGCATTAGTTCCATTTCCAGTGTAGTTTGTATCTCGTTTGCAGCAGCTGCTGTTGAGGTTTCAGCATAGCAGCTAATGTGCACTTTTCTGCAGTAAATTAAGGAAAGGAAAAAAAACACACCAATTGCTATTGATCCAGGAGCGTTACAGCACAAATGGAGTTCAGTTTGTGGGCATGCGGTATTGGTGATGCACATGGTGCATTGATCGGTTTGACTCTCTTGCAGCCCATTGAAACCTGTACCTCCATAAGGAACAGATCTGTATAACTGGAAGATTGGTTTTTCCCCCCCTCTCGTGCGTGTTTGTTCTCTCTTTCTCTCTCAGGCAGTTGGAGGTGTAAAATGAACTGGAATGTTCTTTCACTTCTGCAGTCGCTAGCTTGTGTCAAGCAAATTTTGAAATAAATGTTTTCTGGAGTTAAGAATGTAAATTGGATGTATAGGTAATATTGTGAATCACTTCATGTGGATTATACATAGTAACTTATTTTTTCATACAAAATTGCAATTCTTTTGGAAATGAGTAGCCATATAACACATGCAAACATGCTGAATTGGCTAGTGTGGGATCTAGTGCTCTCTTTTTTTTAAAGTGAAAGGAACATTTGGTTAAAGCTATGAGACCAAACCATTGTAAGCCTTCTTAAAAAACAAAAAACGTGAGGTACAATCGCCATGGCTTGTGATTTTAGGAATGCTAGACACCCAGTGAAGTGTCTAACAGTCTCTGTGTGTGCATACATCACAAGTGATCACAGCTATCCCATACGGAGGTGTTCAACTGGATTGACTGAACTTGTGTACTGTGTTTCTATTGTTGCGAGTTCTCTCATTGCACTGGTGTTCATACACTATAGCCGATCCACACATTCTTAAAATGGTTTAAAGCGTTGCAAACCCTCCTTGCAACTTGCTCCATGAGGAAAGCCTTATTAGCTACTGCTGAGGGTACCTTTAGGCCATCTTGGTGTGAAAATGGGAAAGCCGAACAAGGAGACTGACTCCAAAAGCACTCCTACTGATACTGACCAACATCTTAAGAGAAACTGCCTCAGATGATTTCTTGCATCAACCTTCAAGACTGAACGTGTGCATTATTAAATCGATAACTGTTCTGAACACTACATAATGACCAACTCCAGTAATGAGGTTCCCCCCCAATAATATTGCCAACTTCCTTATGTCAAAAGAATGTTAATTTAGTTTACAAAGGAGGTGAGCTCTTGAAGCCACCTTTTAATAGTGTACTATGCTTTAAGTGGTTTTAAAACTTTTTTTTGTACATTGTGTTCAGTTACTGTGTGTAAAACTTTACATGATTTGCTATCTCTAAATGCAAGGGGTTCTGAGTGAAGGGTGATTTTTTTTCCTTTTTTAAAAAAGCACCTTGCCTAAAGAAATTAGCATTTAAATATATTTAAGTACTCCTATTATTTGGACCTCCATTTTTGTTACTTAAGTTCCTTTGGCCATTCCAGTTCGTGTAACTGTTCCAGCTCTTGTTCTCACAATGGAAACACGACTTGCCTCTCTTCTTCAAGTATGCATGTCTTGTTCACAGCTCTTTTTTTCTCCATGTGCAATAACAATCCAAGTCTAAAAACTAGATGCACTAATATGTAAAAAGATTCAGATTTGACACAAGTGACTTTCATTGCACTTCATAATCAGACTATGTGGGTTATTACAATGGGCTTGCTTTGTTTTTCGGAAATAAATTTATCCCATGTCAAAAACCTGTAGCTTGGATGTTATTTCTGAATGGGGTGGGGAGGCAGTGGCAGAATTAACATAGTAAGGCCTGCCTAGAAGGAAAGCTGTTGGGAAGGTTCTTATGTGGCTGTAGAGCTTTAGGGCTGCCATAGTCAGCCCTGGATCCCAGATCACTGGAGCCAGTGTGGTGGTGTAGTGGTTAGAGTGCTGGATTAGGAAGACATATGTTCAAATGCCCACTCTGCCATGGAAGCTTGCTAGGTAGCATAAGAACACCAGAGCCCTGCTGGATCGGACCAGTGGTCCATCTACTCCAACATCCCATCTCACACAGTGGCCAACCAGTTCTCTGGAGGTCCAACAATAGGGCATAAAGGCTGAGGCCTTCCCCAGACATTGCCTCCTGCCACATGGACTCAAATGATTACTGGCTCTGAATGTGGAGGTTCCCTTGAGCCAGTCACACACGCTAAACCTAACCTACCCACAGGATTGCTGTGAGGATAAAATGGAAGCCACCTTGGGTCCTCATTGGGGAGAAAGGCAGAGTATACTTGAAATAAGCAGATGGATGCAATAGACTAGCTTCAGCCTGTGGGGCTAGATTATCTTCAACCAAGCTGCTAGGATCTAGATCAGGGGTGGGTGTCAAACTCATTTGTTATGAGGGCTGGATCTGACAAAAATGAGACCTTGTTGGGCTGGGCCACGTGTGTCATAAAATGTAATGCCAAATAGCGGAGATATAAACTTTATAAAGGACACAAACACAAAAGGATGGGTTTTTTACTTAAAAACAAAAACATGCTTAAAGCATTAGTACTCTTGCAATAACTTTATTTAACAGTGTGATAACTGACACCTCTTGCTTTGAATTATTGCATCAAAATCTGCTGTCACAATCTTGAGTATGCTGGTCAGGTGTGTATCTGTAAGATGGAAATCTACGATGACGCAGCAGAACTAAAAGAAGCAGAAGACAGCCCGTTCCACTGCGGGCCTGATAGAAGCCCTCTGGGGGCCTGATTGCACCCCCGGGCCACATGTTTGACACCCCTGATCTTGATATGTTTCCCATCCAGCCATATCATTTGTACCTTGTCAGCATCCTCAACTTGGTAGGTGCTCAAGGAAATGAGATTTCCCCTCTAACCTCAACTTCTCAGTTGTCAGTATTAAATCAACCCCGAGTTCTGGATTTGTCCTAGCTGCACCATAGGGAGTATTGTTCATTACCTTCACAGTGGCAGGCACCAGGTGTGTGCCAAGGAAAGGTCTGTGCTGCTTTCCCAAGATCATGATGAGCCTGCAGCAGATCGATGTTCCCAAGATGATTGCCAAAGATCATGATGAGCCTGCAGCAGATCGATCTCATGGATCTTGGCCTGAACAATGTAAAATGGAATTGTGGGAGTATTTGCAAAGACCACTGGAGGAATGGCAGCAGTGGTTCCCAACCGTTTCAGTATGGTGACTCGCTTAAAAAAGAAACCAGGGCATGCACAAATAAACAGAACTGCCGAAACGCTGCTATTCAGCTTCCACAGGCTTCATGACTGACTTTTTGGTTGTGCCTCTACAGGTTAGAAATTGCTGATCTTTTATTTCCTGCCACCACCAATTATGTAGTGGGTGCGAACCATTTCAGGAGGCTATTTATTGACACTGACCTCAATTTCAAAGTATTACAAGAGCTGCATGTGCTTCCTTTATTTCTCCTAAACTGTTTTTATATATCCAAGTGTAGGAAGTATTGCACTTGTTTGCTGTCTGCCTTTTTAGTAGCCTATAAGTAATGCATTACCAGATGCTGTAAGCTACATTTCCAAAGATGACATACATACTTTCCCAGACAACAATTTTGTTCTACTTTTCACTCTTTGTGGTGCCGGTTTGAGACTAGAACTAAAGAGTAGTTTAGTGATATGATGGGTCCCCAACATGGTGCTCATGACTGCCCTGGCACCTGCCAGATGTTTTGAGAAAGTGGGTGGGAGTTTTGCCCAGCAGGACTTCTGATTGGCTGTGCACATTTTAAAGTTTCTTTGGCAGCTGTTACGCCCACAGCACGACTTTGCTGTGTGTCACTGAAAGTCAGCTATGCGTATGCAAACCTGTTTTAACAAGATGTTTTTAAAAATGAACATTGCTTAAGGGTTTCTGCCTGCATTGTTGAAGTTAGTATTAGAGCTATGCATATTACTCCCTGATATTTTGTGGTTTGCTTTGCCTTTTGTGGTTGCCCCCCACCACTGCCAGAATTCCAAAAGTGCCCACAGGTTCAAGAGGTTGGGGACCCCTGATATATATGTATCCCCACACACTGAAACTGTTAAGAGTTGACCATTGTTATACTGATCTTGCGCCAACAGTCTAACACAGGACCATCGGATTCCTGACACATACAAATCGTGATGGATTGCATTCTGTATAGCTAAACATGGTGCCTTCCATGGAGATAGCTGTGTTAGTCTGTCTGTAGCAATAGAAAAGAGCAAGAGTCCAGTAGCACCTTAAAACTAATAAAATTTATGGCAGCTTTCATGAGTCACTACTCACTTCTTCAGTGACTCAAAAAAGTTCCTACCCTGCCACAAATTTTGTTAGTCTTTAAGGTGCTACTGAACTCTTACTCTTTTCTACTGCTACAAACAAATGGTGGTACCATTTTGCGCAGCACATGAAGCTGGTTTTCCACCCAAGAGCTGGCACTAGCAGTATGGGAGAAGGCACTAGACATGGCTTACTTCCATTCCCTGTCATGTATAACCCACCAGATACATCAGAAGCAAGCCCAAGATTCTGCTGTGCATCTCAGGGCGGGGCTTGGCTTGCTTTGTCTTCAGCCAACAGAAAACCTGTCTGTCAGCACACCGTCTTCATGAGCCCATTGTGCTTTCCAGCTCACAGACCAGAAACGCAGCAAGTGCTTGATCTCAATACCATGCAGGAGAACACAAAATTGAACAAGGAGCAGCAGATTTTTCTTAAGAGAGTGGACGGGGCTGTCTCCCCTTTGTTGGAAGAAAACATTGAGAATGTGCTTATCCATACAGTGCAAGGACAACAGTCTACGACAAGCCAGTCACAGAATCCTTTTAATCTGCTGCTGGACCCAATTGCCTCTTTAACTCCTGTAGCTCTCCTAAATGAGCTTTGTGCCAGCTTAGGTTCTGATAGGTACAGCTTTAAAAGCTTCTTTACAGTTTTAAGGATGATTTGGAAAGTGTCCTGGGCAGATAAGGCTTCATTACAAGAGGCAGTGCTTCTCTAACTACTGGTACATGTGTTACGTCTACATACTGCTTTAACTCAAGTTGGCATACAGCTTGGTAGTTAAGTATTCACTGGCCCGAGACACAGAACACTTTATGTAAATATCTTGAGTTGTAAAATATTCAGTTTCCCCTTTAAGTACATCTTCTATCTCCAGCCTTTAGTGAATTGTCTGAATTGTTTATAAGGGTCAGTTCAGGGGGGCAGCCATGTTGGTCTGTATAAGAACAGCTGGACTGAGTCCAGTAGCACCTTAGAGACCAACAAGATTTTTGGCGTATAAGCTTTCAAGAAGCTCCCTTCATCAGATAGAGGGTTTTTGACTCTCAAAAGCTTATACCCAAAAAATCTTGTTGGCCTCTTAAGGTGCTTTGTTGTTTAGTCGCACAGTCGAGTCCGACTCTTCGCGACCCCATGAACAAGATCCCGCCAGGCCCTCCTGTCCTCTGAAGTTTGCTCAACTTCATGTTCGTTGCATCGATGACACTGTCTAACCATCTCATCCTTTGCCGTCCCCGTCTTCTTTGACCTTCAATCTTTCCCAGCATCAGGGTCTTCTCCAGTGAGTGCTCCATTCTCATTTGGTGGCCAAAGTATTTGAGCTTCATTTTCATTATCTGGCCTTCCAGGGAACAGTCAGGGTTGATTTCTTTGAGGATTGACTGATTTGATCTTCTTGCAGTCCAAGGGACTCTCAAGAGTCTTCTCCAGCACCATAGGTGCTACTGGACTCAAATCAAGTAAAAGGTAGAAAACAAACCTATAAGATCAGAACTCCATCCTTAAACCACTCGCTTGGAATGGAGGAAGTTCCTGGTTCAATCCATAGCACCTTCATTTAAACGGCCAGGCAGCAGATAAGGCCTCTGCTTAAGATGTTGGAAACCTGCTGCCGGTCAGGAAGGTCAATATAGGGCAACTTCATGCATTCATACATGCTTTGGGGCATTATTTGTCAATTCTAAGACAACAAATTTAGTTGAACAGCACACAGAGATCAAGGTTTGCAGTCATATGTATACTTTATTGAACAGTTCATCGTCCCCTTTAAAATCAGTGAGATCTGACCAGGTGTGTTTAGGACAAGTTGCTTAATTGCTAAACCACCTCAAGTTACACAGAATTGCTTGCATTGATCAATGAAGCAAAAAGTCAGTGGCATATTTCCACATCATAGCTCCAAAGGGGCAGCAGTGTTAGGCTGGTATAAGCAAAACTAAACATTTATTCCAGCATATATTCTCATGAGTCGGCATCTTTGTCTGATGTGGTGTCCTTACACTGGTACAAATTAGTCTTTAAGGCACTACTAGACTTCTGTTAATTTAGATCACTCTAATACCCTTCATTGAAATAAAGCCAAATTGAAACCCGAACACCTTTCCTGCAAGACCTCCCAATGGGTCTGCAGTCTGAACAGTTAGTATAGACAAAACATACCAGGAGTATCACACGATGAAATGTAACTTGCTCCTTACAAGAGTCACTCAGGTTTCAGCTGAACAGAACCAGTAAAAAGCAAGTGCTCTTTGCTTTTGCACTGCAGCGTAGCCAGAGAGACCGTGAATGGGCCGTGCTCTGGTTCAAAGGCAGTGCTTCCAAGTCACTGAAAAAGCCACACAAAAGGAGTGGTTTTAGTCAGCTTTTATTTACAGACAACATCCCCATCTCAACCTTGATTAAGTCTGTCGTTCCAGTTCCGTTTTCATTCCTGACCATCTTCTACCTGCAAGAAAGAGAAGCAGAAATCAGATGTAGGGCTCCTATTTACACAGCTCAGATGCAGTACTTTCTCCGAGATCACAAACATGAGCACCTATGAAGTTTCTTGGGCACAGGATCAAGACCTTGTGCAAGCCCTAAACAGATTAAAGAATTTTAACTATTACAGACAATCCATGGGCTTCTACTGTACCCTCTTTAATTGGGAATTATTTTCACAGCACTGTCACCTGCTAGCGTTCATCATGCAAACAGGCAGCCACTGAAAGCTTCATCATCCCAATTAATGAATGTGTCTCAGGGGACAGATACAGCACACAGATAACTGGAGTGACACATTGGAGCATATTGCAATTTGCCTTGGGCACTTGATGCTGGAGGCTCAGATTCAAGGTCTCCTCATCTGCATCAGCAGTCTAACACGCAAAAAGAATCATCACAGCAGCCAGCAATGTGCCGAGACAGGTGCAATCTGTTCTTCACCCAATGAATATTCCCCCCATAACCCCAGCTCAAGGGATCCACTCCCCCACCTAGCAGCTTCACATCCAATGCCAATCTCAAGCCTCTTCCTCCAACACACTAGAAACATCTCAAAATGCATTTGTTCTGTAGAACAAAAGCCAAAGTCCACAAGCCAGATTCAAGAGTGCATTCCAGAAATCATTCCAAGTAGGATCAGCCAAGTTAACTAAAGCACATCTCTTGGTCCTGCCATACAGCGAAATACAGGGAGACATACTTTTACAGTCTCTTTAAGTACTAGAGCAAAAGTTAAAGGGGTTGGCTAATATCTGCAGAAATCATAGGCTGATTCTGCATTAGCTTTTCCCTCCATTGTTTTAGCAAACCCACACTGGAACAGCAATTCCCATCTGCATTGCATGCTGTTTTCACATCCTTTTATCATCGGATTTTATAGTACCTTCTGCATAAATTTACAACCATTTTATGGCCGTTCAGGAGTTACAGTCAGTATGGCATTGGCCTGGGGTATCTGAATGCGGAGCAAATGCTAGATGCAGAATCCCCCATAGACATAAAAATTTCAAAGAGTAGCTGTGCTGGTCCGCAGCAGAACAGCTAGATTCCAAGTCCAGTACCACCTAAGGTCTTTGGGGCGTGAGGTTTGGAGAATCTAAGCTCACTTTGTCAGATATTATACAAGGGAGCTTTGACTCTCGAAGGCTTAGAGACCCATTTTGTTGGTCTCTATGGCGGTACTGGACTCGAATCTAACTGCTATACGGCCAAAAGAATCTGGAAAACCTCCCCTTTTGCCCCTCAGTATCTGAGACGTGCGTCAAGACAAGGAATACAGATATCTTAATTTCAGAAGATAACCGTGTTGGTCTGCAGTAGACCATATCTTTAATACTAAACAGCCCCATAAGGGTCAAATCCACATGCTGCGTTCAGAATCATGACCCTAAAGCCACACTTTCCGTACACAACTCCTTGCGCTTTATACCTCGAAGACCCTAAGACGATTGCACGCAAGAAACATGGCAAACTGTAACCATCCCAGGTAATTTATTTTCTGCTGTTGTTTTCCCGCGGAACGGAAGGCGCCATAATGCGGCCTTCCCAAGCTCACGCGCTTTCTAAGCACTACAGCAGCAGCCGCCTGGGTCCTCCCCGACCACACCCGGCCCACAAGCGCACAGAGTGGGAAATCTTGCAAATGGGTCCTGCAGAGCGCCATAACTCCCCCTCCCCCATCTGGCTGCAGCTGATGGGAGCGTTTATTGCAACCCTCTGCATCCCATTTCCCAGGCGCGTCCTTTCTGGAAAAGCAGCCAGGCAAGCGTCATGCAAACAAACTCCCCGGCCCTCGGTGAAGCCAGTTTCCCGCCCCGCCTCACAATGCAAGAAAACTACTGACCTGCACTTCATAGCCCTCGTGGCCGCCATGAAAAGGGCTATTGCAGGGCCTCCCCGGTTATTTATAGCCCTTCTCGTACGCCGCCCCTTCTCCGTCCGAAGCCAATTAGGTTACTATTGTACTATCACGTGCCGATGTGACGCCAGTAATGCACAGGGCGCTCTCCGCCTCCGGGGTTGTACGTTTAACGCAGGGAGGATTCTGGGCTCGAGGGAAGGGTTGTGGCGTCCGAATTCGGCGGAGAGAGGTGGCTGGGTGGCAAGTGACGCACGAACCCTTACGATACCTGATGCACGAAGATATTTCCTCCACGTCACTTTCTTTATGAGGTTTTTTTTTTAATCTAAAAATATTTTTTTATTTTTGGAGGTGGGGAAGATTTATAGATTTTTTAACTCTGTGTGACACAGAGGGTTGGACTGGATGGGCCTTTGGCCTGATCCAACATTGGCATCTCTTATGTTCTTAACATAATTTTGGGGGCTGCTTGTTTAGAGCGAGTGTGCTGCGGTGGCCAGAGGGTCGTACTTGGAGCCCCTGATAGACCAGGTACAGTTTCTCAACCTAGCCCACCGCACAGAGTTCTTATGAGGATAAAATGCAGGACAGGTGAGCAATATAAGCCACTTTGTGTGCACAGTGGGTATGAAGAGTTGGTTTTTATACCCCGCAGTTCACTACCCGGAGGAGTTTCAGAGCGGCTTACAATCGCTCTTCTCTGAGAGAACTGTGACTGGCCCAAGTTCACCCAGCAGACTTCATGTGGTGGGGTGGGGAATCGAACCCGGTTCTCCAAATTAAGAGTCCACCACTCTTTTTTAAAAAAACAAAATTTTTATTATGATTTTACATAAAAAAACAATCAAATTAACATTCCAACATGAGAGTCTTTTTTACAATGTAACTTTGTATAAATATAATTTTAGCTTTAAACATAAAATAATATTGAATGCACTGTATTGTTTATAATATTACAAAATATGTTGTAATTTCTAAAGGCTTCTTGTAAACATTACTTAAAACAAGTCCTCTTAACCACCACACCACACTGGAGAAAGGTGGGGTAGAAATGAAGCAAACCGTATCCTATGGTTGTAGAATGTAGATTACCGTTGGGAAGCCCATGGGATAAATTCCTCCAACTTCAGTAGAACATCTACAGAGTATTGACTGAAAAGCACCTGCTGCTTTTTGATTTTGACTTTGAGAACCAGGATTTGCATGCCTCTGAAATGCGCATTGCTGGTAGACATGTTCACCCACTGTAGAAAAGTCAAAAGTAGCAGTAGTAACTAAAAGAAAACAAAGGAGTGAGCAAACCTTAAGAGTTTCCCAAAATGCCTCTTCTTTAAGCTGGATGTTAAGCAAAGAAACAAAATATCTCTTGACATAATGAAAGGCATCAGTATGCACTTTGTAAAATAGAGTGGAGCAGACTGACACTGCCATCCAGTGTTCCCTCTAAGCCGAGTGAGTGTGAGCTAGCTCACAGTTTTTTAGCCTCCGGCTCACACATTTTTGCCTTTGCTCAGGGAGGATGGCTCCAGAGCAAACTAATTTATGCAGTAGCCAAATCCCTGGCTCACAACTTTAATGCCAGTAGCTCACAGAGTAGAATTTTTGCTCACAAGACTCCACAGCTTAGAGGGAGCACTGCTGCCATCCTAAGCAGAGTTCAACTTCATTGGCTTTCAAAGGGTGTAACCACTTAAGATTGCCCTGCACATTAGGTTAAACCATGGTAAAAGCAAGAAAAGTCTCTTTTCATTTAAAATTTCTGGGGCAAAGTTGCAACAGCTGCTCTCCCTTCTAAAAGTATAAATGCCAGCGGTTATTTGGATCTGTCTCTAATGATAATAACACACAGGATAACGTGGGGTAATGCAACCAATTAAAACATCAGGAAGTAGTAAACAAGCTTTTTGATTCCCCAGAACCCTTGGCTGGATGTTAAGGAAAAGTAGGGCGCATTTGATGTTTTTGCCCACTAGGGGGCAGAGAGTGCTCATTTAAAAACCAGATATGGGTTAGTGTGGGGAGGATAGTATTCCTCTATCTCAACAAAATTATCTTTTGCAGGAATTAAGCTTCCATAAATATGTATTTTAATGATACAATCAAAGAGAACACTGAAATAATAGTGAAATTGGTAACTTCTTTACTCCTTATTTCAGTACATTAATTCTACTGTATTCTGTTGGAAAGATAGTACTAAAGTACTATTTTGGTGTAAGTAAAGTAAAGGTAAAGGTTCCCTTGCTCGAAAGCCAGTCGAGTCCGTAAGTAAGTAGGGCTTTATAAATATGAATAAAACATCTCTTTGCTAAATATTTATAATGTAAGAATGAAAGGGGAAATAATGACAAGAAAAAAGAATTTTGAATAATTGCAGCATCTCCACCTTGGATCCCTCCCAATTGTAGTTTTATGTTTTCTGGTGATAAGTTGAAATTGTCCTTTAATTCAATTGTAAACAACATGTTTAGAATGACAAGAGTACCTCACCATATTCCAGGGACATTTCTTGCAAATACTGGCTTGTACTGTTTCCACACTAGCAGTTTTCTCCAGAAATGACATAATTTGTGTACGTAATTATTACAGAGAATCCAGATGATGTCGCTGCCAAACCATTGCATTCCAGTGTTTTCCCTGTTGTCCTTCAGTCTTTTTAAAGGCCTCGTTTGTTGAAGGTTTTTGTTGTTGTTGTTTTTACTTTGAACACACAACACCATCCTTTGATTTATAGATTGGAAAGCACTACGGATTCACCTGGCAGAGGAATGGCCCATAAGGAAGTCAGTGATGTGGCTGACAAAGCTCTATCTTTCTGCATAGAACATCTTGTAATTTCTGGCTATAGGATCATTACTTGTCCAGCACCCCCCAAGACTTCAAAAAGTTAAAAATCCTGCAGGTCAGCTGTACAGGAGAGGGCAAAGGAGTAGAGATCAGACCCACTCTTCCCCAACAAACAGCTGCTTGACAAGATTTTAACCTGCACTGGGTGGATTTCTGCAGTTCTGCTCTATACACCCAGCAAAACAATCCCTTTTCTCCCCCTCCCCTGTGAGGACAGGTCTGCATGTCCCCCCCCCCCCAATAGCTAGCAGCCGCGGAGCCAGTGTTCTTATTCCCCCCCCCCCCCCAATAGCTAGCAATCCAAAACAGTCCACTGGAGCCTGAACGGTGGGTATTGCCTTCTGACACACTTCCAGTGATGTCAGAGGGTGCGGCATATGCAAATAAGTTATGCTAATGAGCTCCTGCACCTCTTTTTTTTCGAAATGACCCCCTTTTATGGCCATTTAGGTGTGATTCTGCAGTCATTGTCCTGTGCTATTTTAATGTTTTGAGCTGCACTTTTTTCTCCCAGTTGAGAAAATGTGGAGCGAATGCTAGATGCAGAATTGCCAAGAGGAAGGCTCTGGCAAACTACCTCTGCTTTTCACTTGCCTTGAAAGCCCCTTGTTAGGGTTGCCATAAATTGGTTGTGACTTGATGGCATGTACATATGCAAGTGGGCATAGGATTGCTACTTATTCCAAAATATAGTCAGCTAATGGGGTCTTTCCTGCCAACCTAGCAGTTCGAAAGCAAGAAATTGCAAGTAGATAAATAGGTACCACTTCGGTGGGAAGGTAACAGCATTCCCTGCGCCTTGGTGTTTAGTCATGCCGACCACATGACCACGGAAACATCTTCGGACAGCGCTGGCTCTTCGGCTTTGAAACAGAGATGAGCACCGCAACCCTAGAGTCGGATTTGACTGGCTTTTGAGCAAGGGAACCTTTACCTTTAATGGGGTCTTACTTTTGAGTAAACATATGTAGCTAGATGCCAGATGGCATTCAGCGACCTGGATCCAGAGGTGCTGAAGCAAGAGGAAGTGGCTTTTGCCCAAGGTGCTGGAGCACAAGGTGTGAATCCTGCACCCCGCACACCCACCCTCAGCAAACATTGTGGCTGGATTTGAGCTTTTATATTTATAATTGGATATTCTCACCCAGACAGCTGACCTTTTCTTCAAAGGAGACAAAGTTGATATAGGTACACAATGCATTAAAGGAGTACACCTTGAACAGAACACCATTTGCTTTGCAGTCCCTATTAACGATAACAGCAGCAAATAATATCTAACAAGGGCAAAGGAGTAGGTAGCAGCCGTTAGGAAAATCATTTGCTAAGCAGCGTCTGTTCACTCAACGTGTTGAGTGTCTCCTCTGGTTGCCATTATATTTGTTCAAGGACTTTTGGAACTGAGGAATCATTGGAAATGCATGGTTTCTCCTTTTTTTTACATCTGAAATTCACCTAGGAGCATGCAGGTCACAGTGACTTTTTCTCCCTAAAATTCCCCTGCCAATGTGCAAAGCAAACATATTGCTCACTTGGCTAACCGGGTCTGCAAGTTAAAATTGCCAGGGTATTTTTTAAAAAGCTTTTGTTGTTTTACAAATGCTCTTTCAGGACTGACCTTTAGACTGACCTAATGCTCTACTACCATGAAATTAGTCCATCCTGTTGGGAAAAGAATTCTGTGCCGATCAGAACCTTGCTATTCTACCACACTTTAATGTTAACATATTGTTGCTGCCTCTGTTACTTCCCCTTCTCCAAAAGAAAATGACTGAATCATATGGTACGGGGCATAAGAGTTCTCATAATGATGAACATAACACTGTAATCAAGAACCACAACACATGAATACGAGACATATCCCAAAGTACTCTACATGGCTATGTAAATTTTGTTGCAAGCAATAAGATCAGTGCCTTTTATATGTCTTTGTAGGCTGCCCCAACCCTACACAGCATTTATTTAAATTCCAAATTCTCAAAATAACTTACTTTAGATAATAAATACCCCACTTGTCTCCCCAGTGGGGGCCCAACATTGCTTACAACATCACTTTCCCCTTCTCAATTTTAATCTTCATAACAACAACCCTATGAAGTAGATTTTGCTGAGAGTGCATGACAGTGGCCTAAGGTCACCCAGCATGTTTCCATAGCAGAGT